TGCCCTTTGCGACCTGTCCCCACAGACGGGAGCCGGGAGTATGTGAACGTGTCCCAGGAGCTGCACCCGCAGGTGGAGAAGACGGAGCCTGGTGTGTGCTGGGCCCATGAGGCAGGAACTGGGCCAGTGGCCTTGGGTGGGTGGGGGACATGGCTTTTAAGTTGAGGACTGGGGGAAAGGAGGGCCCCCAACAAATCATCACTGGTCCAGTAGGCGCAACGGTGCGGCGATAATAAGTAAAGGTTATAGTGAAGTCAGAGCGAGCATGAGATATAGAAGAGAGACTGAAGTCATGGAGTCAGACACACTTCATGGTAACATGCTCACCTCAACCCCGCTTGGTGAGAGAGCGAGAGCAGGAGGGAGCCCAACTTTATTGCTCACCAAGGGTTATATCTCCTTAGGGGGGCATGGTTATGGTAACCACACGTCACAGGAAGGGGCAGGACAATAGGCATACACACCATAGGAAGGGGTTGTACGATAGGCAAAAGCGTGACAGGAAGGGGATGAGCTAGGGGTGTGCACATAGGAAGGAGAGGGACTAGAGGTATACATGTGACAAGAAGGGCGGAGTCTAGACTCATGATGGTGGCCTAACCTTGGCCACCCTTGGGTGGGCTTGACCTCTCTGGGGTCTCCTACAAGGAAGCAGTCAACTCCTATCCTTATCAGAAGGGAGGTGGCCCTACCTGTTGTGGGATAAACAGTGGCGACTGTTTGCTCTAGATGGCTGATAACTCTTAGGGAGAATGACCCCTAATCTACTCCTGATGACCTCCAAGTGTATAGTCTAAGGTGATCAGACGTCCTGCTTTTGGCGGGAGAGTCCCGATTTTTAACAATTTTTCCTGCATCCCGCGGCATTTTTAAAAGTCCCGATTTTTGGAAAGAATGCACGACAAGCTAGGGTATACGGTTTGCGGCTGCCATGTGGCTATTTCGCCAGGATATGAGTTTTATCAATGGTGTCCCACTTTTGTCCCGCTTTACCAATGTTAAAATCTGGTCACCTTAGTATAGTCATTTGCAACCAGCTAAGTTTGGTATATATTAGGGGGAGACAACTTGGGAGAAATCCTTCTGTTTCCCACAGAAGACCAACTTCCCCTCTGCCCACAGCCCCCCTGAGTTCCCAGGACATGGAGGAGGAAGAGGAAGAAGAGGAGGGACCTCCTGATTATGAGAACCTGCAGGATCTGAACTGAGGGCCTGGTGAGGACCCTTCCTCCCAGCCCCACTCCAGGCAACCCTGCCCCCACCCCTCAGGCCTGCCCTCCCTGGCCTGGGGCAGTCCCTGGGCCCCTCATCCCTCTCCCCTGCCTGTGGTGTTTCAGGTCTGGAGCCAGCCTTAAGGGAGGTGCTCTTGCTGCGGAGCCAGGCAGCTGGAAGTGGTGCTGGGCCCCTGGGCTGTGCTTCCCGCCCAGCCTGACATCAGCCTGAGAATTTCCCCCTAACTTATTGTCACTTTGGGGCCTAGCCTGTGTTCCCCCCTCCGACTCCCCCACACTGCACTTTCTGACGCAGCCTGAGAATGGACCACCCTGGCCCCAGCCCTCCCCTTTGCCAAAGAATAAAGGCCGGTGTGGTTCGTAGCTCTGCCGTGGGTGGGCCTGTGGGTGTGATGCGTGGGAATGTGTGTCTGTGTGAGTCCGCGTCAGAGACTGGATGGATGTGTGAGAGAGAGAGAGAGAGAGAGATCGGGGAGTCTGTGTGTCCCCTTTGGCCTCCACCAGGGTCCTGGCAGGTAGCCTACGAGGGACAGCAAATGTGGCCCCTGTAAATGCGTTTCCCAAAACACACACACTCCGGGGCAGGGAAGGCAGGCCACCTGGTGGGATGGACAGGGAGGTGAGGAGCGTGGCCTTCCGCCCTTGTGGTCCATAGCAAGGCCAGGGGGACCTCAGAGGGACCCGCGGTCTTTTACCTTTCAGGATTCTCCCTACAGAGCCCACACACTCAGAAACGCGGTTGTTCGTTGTTAGTTACTGTGGTTACGATGGACCAGAGTCTTTGACTCCGCAGAGTTGCTGGCTGCATGCGAACCCACAACCTCTCGCGTCCTTAACCACCGCACTCCTCTGTCCCACACAACGCTTTTTAAAATTGGGGATGTGCCGGTGGTGGCCCTGAAGGTCTTCTCAAAATGCACGTGCTTGGTGTCCTCGGTACCTGACCAGGGCGCGTTCCCCCCAACTTTGGGAGCCACCTCAGCGGCCCCTCGGGCCCACCCCTCGCCCCAATCTAACCCCAGGTGGTTCTATACACAGTGAACCGCCTCCGCCTTCATGGTGGGCACAGCACCTACACCTGGACCACCACCACCGGCCTCCCCCTGGCCATCGCGATTGGGTCAGGTACGGCACGTGACGCCAGCGGGCGGGCCAGTGGGCAGCAGCCTCGGGGTTGGGGGCGGAGGTGATAGGAGAAGCGGGGTGGTTTGTTTCTCGCGCTCTGCGGGCACGGATGCTGGAAGGACACGTGCTGGCCACTTGGGAGCCGCCGGAGGAGGCTAGTGGCCCAGGGAGCGGGGCAGGGCCAGCGCCGAGGGGAAGGGCCCTGCGGGGCAGCGGTCACGTTGGGCTGCGATCCGCATGGTCGGCGGTTGGAAGCCACCGGCAGCTCCGAGGGAGAGAGACTGGGCTTTCTACTCCGTCCACAGTGACAGTCTCGGAGGCCCGCAGGGGGGTCGCTCCTCGCTCCTGGCGGCGTCATTAGAACCCCAAGCTTCAGTCTCACCCGAGGTGAAGCGCCCCCCCTCAAGACGTCCCAGTCACCTGGCCAATAAACCACCTTTTCCTGCAACCAGCTTGACTTGCACTTTGTCTTCTGCCACCACGTGGTCCCGCCTGGTCCCCGGGGTCGTTGGTCTCCCTCTGAGG